GGGACTTCCTTACAATGTATACAGGGATCGCTCTCTCGGCGCTCTGGAGTCGCGCTCTCGCTGGAGACTTGCTTGCAATTTACTCAAGAATAGCGCCGTTGCGTTGAAGTTTCCCGCAATTTACTCAAGCGCCGCGCTCCCGACACTCAGGCACCCAGAAGTCGCGCTCACGCTTCGGATTCCCTCACAGATTATTTGGGAATCGGGATCTCGCTACCCTCCGTGGCCCGGTTGCAGCCCTTCGTGGCCCCTTTGCTGTCCTTCGTGGACCCGTTGCATCCTTTCGTGCCCCCCTTGCTGCCCTTCGTGTGGCCCCGTTCAATCAAAAAAACAATGTGCCCCGGATGGGGGGATCAGCAATAATTATTCTTCAGAAATCAGAGTTCAACAACAACAACAGCAAGCAACAGCAACAGCAACAGCAACAGCAACAGCAACAGTAGCAACAACTGAACAGCAACCCCCAAACCCTCGATACCCGCCCTCTTCGTCTTCGATGATACCCCTTTGGGGGGGTATACCTTTCTTCCCTGCAGGTCGGGCCCGGGCAAGCGACGGTGCGGCCACGAACCGTCGGCCTGGCCGGCAGCAGCGCTGATCGGCGGCAGCCCGACCCCAAGAGGGACGGATAGGGGACCGACCACGACGACGACGATGACAACGACGACGCCGACGACGACGACGGCGACAACGACGACGACGACGACGACGAGCGAAAGCGAGAGCGAGAGAGTCACGAAGTAGGCCACGAAGGGCGACAGCGGGAACATGAAGGGAATGCGTATGGGGCAACGAAGAGCGCGAACGAGCAGGGGACACGGAGGGCAGAAAATGCGGGGCCACAGATGGCAACGACAGAGCCACTGAGGGTAGCAACTGGGCCACGTATGACAACCAGGGGGCCACAAAGGGCGACAGCGGGGCAACGAAGGGCATGCATATGGGGCCACGACGGGCGCGAACAAGCGGGGGCCACGAAGGGCATACGTAGATTGGGCCGCCGAGGGCAGCGAGGGGGCCACGAAGGGCTGCAACGGGGTCACAAAGGGCAGCGAGGTGGCCACGAAGGGCAACGGCGGGGCCACGAAAGGCATGCATATGGGGCCACGACGGGCGCGAACGAGCGGGGGCCACGAAGGGTATACATATATGGGGCCACGAAGGGCAGCGAGGGGGTCACGAAGGGCTGCAACGGAGCCACGAAGGGCAGCGAGGGGGCCACGAGGGGCTGCAACGGGGCCGCGAAGGACAACGAGGGGGCCACAAGGGGCTGCAACGGGGCCACGAAGGGCAGCGAGGGGGCCACGAAAGACTGCAACGGGGCCACGGAGGGCAACGAGGGGGCCATGAAGGAGTGCAACGGGGTCACGAAGGGCAGCGAGGGGGCCACGAAGGAGTGCAACGGGGCCACGAAGGACAGCGAGGGGGCCACGAAGGGGTGCAACGGCTGCAACGGAGCCACGAAGGACAGCGAGGGGGCCACGAGGGCCTGCAAGGGGGCCACGAAGGGCAGCGAGGGGGCCACGAAGGGCAGCAACAACAACAACAACAACAGCGGCTCCCGCCTGATACTTCCTGACAATGTATTGAAGAATCGCGCTCTCGCTTCGGACTTCCTTGCAATTTACCACCGGATCGTGGCACCCGCTGAATGAATACTTCGTCACACTTTATTGAAGAATCGCGCTCTCGCTTTGGACTTCCTCGCAACTTACTACCGAATCGCGGCTCCCGCCTGAAACTTCCTGACAATTTATCCAGATGCCGCTCCTCGACACTCAGGAATTGCGCTCCCGCTACATATTGCCTGGCGGTTCAAGCAGAATTTACACTTCAACGACCCGCCCGCTCGACCCGCCCGTCTGGGCCTGCCCGCCCGACCAGCCCGTTAGGGACTGCAGTCGCCGCTCGCTGCCCTTCGCCCACCTTCGATGCCCCTCGCTGCCCGTACTGGTTCCGCGGTCGCCTTCGCTCGCTGCCCTTCGTGGCCCCGTTGCTGCTCTTCGTGGCAGGGGATGAATATACTCCCCAATAGGGGGTACGATCGAAGACGAAGAGGGCGGATATCCAGGGTTTGGGATATGCATATTGAATGACACGCGAGCAGATAAGAGCGAACAGTCTTAAACAAATGATTGTTGTTGTTGTTGTTGCTGTTGTTGCTGTTGTTGTTGTTGTTGTTGTTGTTGTTGTTGTTGTTGTTGTTGTTGTTGTTTTTGTTGTTGTTGTTGTTGTTGTTGTTGTTGTTGTTGTTGTTGTTGTTGTTGCTTTTGCTGTTGCTGCTGTGCTGCTGCTGTGCTGTTGTTGTTGTTGTTGAACATTATTAATTCTAAAGAATAATTATTGTTGGGCCCCCTGGTGCGCGCCCCCCCCGCCGCGCCTAGGCCGCAGCCACGTTTTCATAATTTTCGTGAGGAAGCCTCAGGTAATTCGAGTGATCAAGATCCGGTTGTTTTGTTGTAATCCGTTTTCCCTTGCAAAAAACACTATAAAATGACATTTCTTGTTCTAATATAATCAAATTTCAAGAATCCCTTGCAAAAAATAAGGTAAAGTGGACATTCGCGCGCGCAAGACGAAATCCTTCCAAAAGCTTAGTGTTCGGAGCGATTTTAACATAAAAACATCAAAAAACCAATGGTTTTTCAACAAAAAAATGTCAAAATCTCATCCCGCGCGCTCTTGCGGATTCGTAGGAAACCCAACACTTTTTAAACATTTCTGTCAAACGGGCTTTTGCGAGCAACTTTTTCGAACTTCTGCGACAACGGTTGCGCACCTGCCAGGGCCATCATCCCTGTCAAATAATACCATGCGGGACACATTCGTTTTTTCTTCGCGCGCGCACGCCGTCGTCGTCGGCCGCGGGGCCCTGAATAGTAGCCACGGTCGTCCGCATGCCACGAAGTGAAGTGTCCGAACGTCATAGGGCGGGAAGCTGGGTGTGGGTGGTGGCGAAGAGTCGTGTGGATATTTGGTAGAGCTTGCACCGGCCCCCCCACAAAGTGGGGGTATTGGCTGGCGTCGCATGAAAACCCTGGCACTGGTGAGAACACTGAGCGTTCGGGTAAAGTGATTGTTGTTGTTGTTGTTGTTGTGGAGTTGTCATTTCTGATGAATATTTATGGTTGATCTCCCTCACCAGTGAATGTTGTTTTTCTCAGTGAAAGTGTGCCCCTCGACGCTCGCACCCTGTTTTTTGACAGGGAAAATCTCGGTGGTCAAACTGTGCCACTGGCCCCCCAGACTACAACAACAACGGCTCCCGCCTGAGACTTCCTCCAAATTTACTCACGACCCCCCCGTCTCGTCTGAGACCTTCTCCCAATTTACTCAGGAACGGCGCTCCCGCTTGAGACTTCTTCACAATTTAGTCCGGGTCAAGCTGCGTTGTTGCTCCCCCGGACTACAACAACAAAAGTTCCCGCTTGAGATTTCTTCGCAATTTATTGAAGAATCGCGTTCTCGCTTGGGATTTCCTCGCAACTTACCACCCACTTGCTTCGTTTGATATTTCTCTTCAATTTACCCAGATGCTGGTCCTCGACACTCAGGAATTGCGCTCCCGCTACATATTGCCTCGTGGTTCAAGCAGGACTCACGCTTCAACGACCCGCCCGCTCGACCCGCCCGTCGGGGCCTGCCCGCCCGACCAACCCGTTAATGACTGCAGTCGCCGCTCGCTGCCCTTCGCCCGCTTTCGATGCCCCTCGATGCCCGTACTGATTCCGCGGTCGCCTTCGTTCGCTGCCCTTCGTGGCCCTGTTGCTGCCTTCAGTGGCCCCGTCGCTGCCCTCTCTGGCCCCGCATTATATGCCCTTCGTGGCCCCCGCTCGCACGCGCCGGTCGTGGCCCCATACGCATGCCCTTCGTAGCCCCGCTGTCGCCCTTCGTGGCCCCCTCGCTGCCCTTCGTGGCCCCTTTGCTGCCCTGAGTGGCCCCGCTGTCGCCCTTTGTGGCCCCCTCGCTGCCCTTCGTGGCCCCGGTGCTGCCCTCAGCGGCCCCGTCGCTGCCCTCTGTGGCCTCAGATTTTATGCCCTTCAAGGCCCACGCTGGCTTTTCTCACGATTTGCTTGGGAATCGCGTTATCGCGCGAGACTTCCTCGCGATTCATGCAGGACCCACGCTTCAGCAACCCGCCTGCTCGACCTCGTCGCTTGGGCCCGCCTTCCCGACCTGCCCGCTATGGGTCTGCCCACCCGATCTGCCCAGTTGGATCTACCACTTGTTTTCTGCCTCTTGCCCTCCTCCTGCTAATTTGTCTCGTGCTCCATTCTTCTCACTCCTCCTTTCACCCGTCCTCTCTTCACTTATTTAAGGGGCTGCATTAAATACACGTGGCAGGTGAGGAAAATATGCCCCCAGGGGGGTACGATCGAAGACGGCGAGGGCGGGTACCGAGGGTTTGGGATATACGTATTGATTGGCACGTGAGCAGATAGGAGCGAACAGTCTTAACATGATTGTTGTTGTTGTTGCTGCTGCTGCTGTTGCTGCTGCTGTTGCTGTTGCTGTTGCTGTTGCTGTCGTTGTTGTTGCTGTTGCTGCTGCTGCTGCTGTCGCTGTTGTTGCTGTTGTTGCTATTGTTACTGTTGTTGCTGTTGTTGCTGTTGCTGCTACTGTTGCTGTTGCTGTTGCTGTTGTTATTGTTGTTGCTGCTGCTGTCGCTGTTGCTGCTGCTGTTGCTGCTGTTGTTGCTGTTGTTGCTGTTGTTGCTGTTGTTGCAGTTGTTGTTGCTTTCGGATGTATGTATGTATGCATGCATGCATGCATGCATGCATGTATGTCTGTCTGTCTGTCTGTCTGTCTGTCTGTCTGTCTGTCTGTCTGTCTGTCTGTCTGTCTGTATGTATGTATGTATGTATGTATGTATGTATGCATGTATGTATGTATGTATATTATGTATGTATATATATATATATATATATATATATATATATATATATAGATGTGCATGATATCAATCGAGCCGCCCGACGAGAGTCCGCGGTGGGGGAAAGGCCGGACGCTCCGCGCCTCCGGCGGGCGGGGCCCGGCGGCTTCTGCTGCAGGACCGCCCAGCGGGGGTGCCCCTCGGAGCTGCCGCCCCCCTCGGGGCTGCCGCCCTCGGGCGAGGCCCCCGCCCCGGACACCAGCGTCTACGACTGCGACGCCGGGTACCGCTTTCGGCGACTACAAAGGGTGTGGTTACGCCAGGGTGTGGTTTGCGATCGGCGCCGTGGGGGCCTGGAGGGCACGACACTGTCCTCGTCGGGCCTCCTCGGGGCGCGGGCGAGGACTCTATCGAGGTACCCGCCCGCCCCTCGTGGTGCTTCCAGGGTGCCGATTGCAAACCACACCCTTTGCAAACCACACCCTTTGGAGTCGCCGACACTTGTGTGCGTCAGGGTGGCAGGGATCGCCTCTCTCTTTGGGGCCCCCCCCCGTAGGGGAGATTGCACTCCTCTGGTGGGTGCGCGTGCCTCGTGTCGGTGCCGAGTGTGGGCGCCGGGACTCGGTGCAGAGTGTCGTTGTCGAGGGTCGATGCCGAGCGTCGCTGCCGAGTGTCGGCGCCGATCGTCGTTGACGCGGGGGGTCTCTAAAGAGCTGCCCCCCCCCCGACACACACACACACACACGAGGTACCACCACTGCATGCACTGCCTGGAGCTGTCGTGGTCCCCCCGGAAGATCCAGTACTGCTGCGCCAACCTCCACAAGGGCTGCAAGGGCGAGGAGCCGGAGTAGAGCGAGCGCGTGGTCTCGGCGGCGCGCCCGGGGCGGCGGAGGGCGCGGGCCTCGCCAGGAGCCTCGGGCGGCCCGCGGCCTTCTGAGAAGCCTGCGGAGACTTCTCCGAGGACGCGGGGCGGCTTCTCAGAAGCCCGGGGGGCCTTCCGAGAAGCCCCGTGGCCCTCCGAGAAGGCCGGCCCTCTCTCCTGCTGCCACCGTCGGCGCGCCGCTGGTGGAGAGGGCGGCCGCGCCGGGGCGGCTGGGCGAGCCGCCGGCAGCCTGCAGACACGCACCGTGGAACCACGGCATGTCTGGGAGCATCGCTCGGCCACCTGCCCGCTCGGGCCCTCCTTCGCGAGGGGCGCATTGTTTTTTTGTGACAGCGCGGCAGGGCAAAGCTACGTGCGCGCGCTGCACAGCTCGGGCGTCGCCGCTGGCGGGCCAGCAGTCGCGGTGCGAGCGTCGAAGGGGGAAGAACTGCAGAAGCGTAAGCTTTCGGAGCTCCGCGCGGGTTTCTTGGATCCGGGCGCTGGGCCCCCCCTGGCGGCGCCGTCGGCGCCGCCCCTGACGCGCTCCGCGCGCCAGGGAGGGGGGTCCAGCGCCGATCCAAGAAATCTGGGCAGACCTCCGACAGTTGTTATGCATGCGTTTCGGCTTCCTTGAGAGAGGGAGCCACGCATGATGCGTGTCCTTGCTCTTGGTGAGACACGCAGTGCCAGCGCAGTCGGGTGCGAGATTTTGCGCACATTTGGAAAAGCTACTGCTGCTCCCCTCCTGCTAGCCTTCAGTCGGGCACGTCCCTCTACAGGAGGAATATTCCAAAATAGTCAAAGAATAGGCAGGGGACGATTTTTGGATTACTTTGTGAGTACTTTACATTTCTCGTTCAAAATCCGCCTGTAGGGGGACATGCCCAACCTCATGCTAGCCCGCTTGCCTCTGCTAGCACATGCCTGCGGCTGGCCCTCCGCTCTGCCTCTGCCTGCGCGCCTCTCCTCGCCTTCGCAGGCGGCGCTGGGCTTCCGAAGGGCACTCGTCTGGATGCCACGCCTGGGGGGCTGCGTGCATCCTCGGCGCTGGTACGTCCGTGGTCGAGGGCCGGCCTGACCCGGCATGATCCCGCGGAATCCGGCCTGCTCCTGAGCTGAGTCTGGACCAGTCTGGCTGGATAGCCTAAAACGACGCGGAGATCGGGACAAAATCGGATCGGGATAACTCGAAATCTCTGAGAATCGGCGGGTTTGGAGGAAGTATTGGGCGCCGCGGCCGCTCCAGAGCGTTCCGGAACGCTCTGAGAGCGCTCTGGAACGCTCTGGAGCGATTTGCCCCGATCCTAGCCCTGTTTTAGTAGCTCCTCAATCGGGCTCCATAGTCTTTCCTCGCTCTCACGACGCCCTCCCAGAGGTGGCCCCTCTGGCACCCGCGCGTTCCTGGTTGGGCACGCAGGTGCGTCGTCTGCCTCCTTCCGCCCCTGCCGTGGGGCCGGGGGCGGCCTGCAAGAGGCGCGCTCGCTCTGTTCCTGCGCCCGGGCCCGCGGTTGCTCCCGCGCGCCGTTCGCCGCCCAGCTTCTGCGCTCCGTGCGCTGCGCAGCCCACGCTGCACCCCACACGTCAGTATCGCTTAACCGACTCCGATCCCCATCCTCATCCCCTTCGAGACCCCCACCAAATTACCCCCCAGTTGGGGATACCCCCCCCGAAACCCGAAGGGAACGGCCTACATCCCCATCTGGGGGGGTAAGTCGGCCAGTGGGGCCCAGGCAACGCCGCTGGGGATGGGGGTCGGATGAACGATGCTCAACACGTTGCCTCCCCAGACTCTCCACGTCGTTGTTTTGGTTGGGCGACGTGTGCGACACCTGACGACTTGGAGCCCACGTGCTGGCGTGCTTCTCCCCACTCCGCTCGCTTCACTTCACCTCGCTGGCGTTCCCGAGTGAGCGCTTGGGGGGTGGGCGCCGCCCCCGCCGACGGTCCCGCATCGACCCCCGTCGCGGACGAGCCTCCGCCGGCCGAAGGCCCTCCAAGACACGGCGCGGCGCGCCGTGCGGGGCGCGGCTGAGCCCCGTCGGGGGGGACCCCCCACGCGCTTAGGAAGAAACTCCGGGAGCCCCGTTGCTTTCCCCCTCCTCCTCCTCGTCCTGCTCTTCCTCCTCCCTCCTCCTCCCTCCTCCTCCTCCTCCTCCCTCCTCCTCCTCCTCCTCCTCCTCCTCCTCCTCCTCCTCCCTCCTCCTCTTCCTCCTGCCTTCCAACCCCTCCCTCGCGCTCGCTGCTCCGCCCCGAGGCTGCTCCGCAGCCGCCCGCCCTCCCCCCCCCCTCCCAGCCACCACCGCGGCACCGAGGACGGCTGGGGGACAGCCATCTGGGCATGGGCGTCCTACAGTCAAGGGAGGAAAAACCACCTGGACCCGATAGTTAGCGTTTTTTACCCGGGCGTTCACTCCGCGGCCCTGCCCCGTTCGATTCCTTCTTTGGGCGCGTTTGCTCAACGTCTTCGCGTGTCGGGGGTGGTCATTGTGGGGGCGGATTCTTTGACTTCTGTACAGTCCCGGAGTATTGTGGAAAACCAGTGGATTCTTGGAGAATGGCTATTCTGCAAGGGTTTCTGGGAATTCCTCCGTTCGCAGGCCTTGATGGGGACGTTCCCACGCCGAGTATCGACGAGCGCAGGGTGCCCTTCGTCTTGAGTCGGGCACGTCCCACTACAGGGGAACTATTCAAAAATAGTAAAAATAGTTAGGGGACGATTTTTCGGTTATATTCTAATCTTTTTGAGCATTTTTGGTATATTTTTGATTTTTCCTCCAAAATCCGCCTTTAGGGGACATGCCCGAACTAACCTTTGTCCTCCCCCTCCCCCTCATGGTTCCTTTCAGCTCCTTCCTCGCGGCCACTTCTCGTCGGCGGGAGACATCTCCATGTCCATGGGCCAGCTTGCTGGGCCTCTGGGCCGCGACCCCATGGACACGCGGCGTTTTTTTCGCAGAGCCTCCTCTCCCTGCCCTTCCCGCCCCCCGCGGCACCTAGGACGGCTGCGCGCTGGAGTTCGCCGCCCCAGAGCTCAAGGCCCGTTGGCGCCCAGCGGGGTAAAACATGATGATAGTGATGGTTGTGGTGGTGGTGATGATGATGATGAGGAGGATGAGGTTGAGGATTGTGATGATGTTTATGAGGATGATGCTGATGATGCTGATGATGATGATGATAGTGATGATGATGATGATGATGGTGATAATGGTGACGATGACGACGATGATGATGACGCTGATTATGATGATGACGATGATGATGTTGATGGTGATTATGATGATGCTGCTGATGCTGTTGATGATGCTGATGTTGTCGATGATGATGCTGATGCCGATGCTGATGGTGATGATGAGGATGACAATGATGCTGAGGATGAGGGTGGTCATAATGTTGGGGTCGATGACGATGACGATGTGTATCATGTCGATGATGTTGCTGATGCTGGTACTGATTTTGTTGGGCAATGCGATGACGACGACGATTCGGACGATGAGGGTGGCGGAGAGGATGGTACGGATGAGCATGATGCTTGTGACGACGATGACGATGCTGGTCATGATGGCGATGATGACGATGATGCCGCATATGCGGATGCTTCGTACTATGATTGTGGCGACGATGAGGATGGGCAGGATGATGCTGATGATGGCGATGACATTGACGGCGATGGAGGGGAATGGTGATACTGATGATGATGATGATGATGATGATGATGATGATGATGCTGATGATGATGATGATGATCCTGTCTATGACGATGCTGTCGACAGCGACGGGGATGAAGCTGAGGATGATGATGATGATGATGATGATGATCATGGTGGTGGTGGTGATGATGATGACGATGATCATGATGATGACGATTGAATTGATGATGCTGATGATGACGACGATGATGATGATGATGATGATGATGATGATGATGATGATGGCAATGACGACAATGCTGATGACGATGATGGGTGCGGTAATGATATTGACGATGACGAATACTTCTATTATGTTTATGATGATGGTGCCGAAAGCGACGATGAGGCTGATAAGGGACCTTGACGATGAACCCATGACGACGAGCATGATGACGGATCTGATAATGACGATGGCGATGATCATGTTGATGATGATGCTGCTGATGATGATCACGCTGCGAATACCGATGATGACTATTATGCTGATGATGATGACGATGATGATAATGATGTTGTTGTTGATGATGACGACGATGTTGATGATGAGTATGATGATGATGATGATGATGATGA